AACTGTTCATCAAACTTTTCTGCTTTTTGTTTTACGATAGGTCCAGACAGTGGTACATTTTGCTGTTGGAACCACTTCAACGTTGCCTCCAAATTTTCAAATTTTGGCTTTTACTAGTTTTTTACTAGAACTGCCTGTCGCTTCAGCCTGAATGATCGACGTCCCACATCACTTTTCTTTCCTCCTCGTTCTATCTCCCGAAGTAAAGCAATTTTCGGCCTACATTCCTTACTTCGTCACATGATGTGCCCCTTTTTCGTTCCGTATAGAGAGTGAGACATTCGTTATACAGAGTGGATTAATACATAGCTTTGTATGGAGACCTAATAGTACAATAAATTTTGTTCGTAATACAGAGTTTCTCGTTATACAGAGCAGTTTGCACTGTAATTTGATCAATGCCCCCGAATTATTCTTATTGTTATTATTATGTTCCAGCGTATATAACACGAAATTTCCGTGGATTTTTGCGTAGACGATATCTATACTAACTGTTATAGTAAGAGTGTGACTTATGGCATGTATCGTCAGTTAGTAACTTTAAATCTACTCTGTAAAAGAAGTAATTCTGTTGGGTTTGTAATTAAATAAATAAATTATTTTTGGTACTACTTTAATAAATAATATTATTTATTTTTTTCCCGGAAAAATAAAATTCCTATTGAAAGTATATTTTTTCAAGCATTTTTGAATAATACATTTTGAGGTGGCTTTTACTTGATGAAAATCCATTTATCAAAATAAATAAGAACTAAAAGTTCAGATTTTCATGAAATTATATATTTTTATACAACACCGTGTCTTTATACAAACTACCTACTACTATATATACCGAGAAATGGCAATAAAACCTTAATGTTTTTGTGAGAATTTAAGTTCAATAAATGAGAGGTACTCATATTTAAATCTAATTGATCGCTTTCACATTTGAATGTCTCATTTTGTTAATGTCCATGACTACCAATAAATTCAATTTTCTGTTGTTCTATATAAAATATCAAATTTGTCGTCAAAAATGTGTTTTTCTAGTCTAGTCTAGATTCTAATTATGCTACACACTCAAACACGGAAAAACACATTTTTGACGACAATTTTGATATATTACACACAGCCACAAAAAGTAGAAAATTAAATTTATTGAAAGCCATGGAGATTAACAAAATGAGACATTCAAATGTATTGCTTAACGATCAATTAGATTTAAATACCTCTCCATTATTAAACTTAAATTACCACAACATTAATTAAGGTTTTATTTTCATTTTTCCGTATATAGTAACAGGTAAATATTTCATTTGATAAAGACACGGTGTTGTCGAAACTATTGTCATGTCATAATATATAATTTCGTGGAAATCTGAACTTTCAGTTCTTATTTATTTTGATAAAACATTTTGTTTTAGATATCCCATTGCTACCTCTGGGAAAATAATCACGGTTATCCCATGGGTAGATATAATTTCATGTGGTCCCGGACCAATGAACATTGTATCAAATTTATTTCGCGACTTCGTGTTACCAGCCATAGAAGCGACTCGCAATCCAAATGCTCCCTGGGGTATTTCTGATTTATAATGAACAGTCCACCGGATTTATTAAATCGAGGCGCTCTAACTTCGATAATATCGACTCATACGAAACGCTGGGCTGGAATACTTTAGTGGAATATGCAGTTGACCAATTTAAGGGCCCATTAGTTTGAATACTTCTCTAATTATTCCTCACTCATTTGCTGAATACAAAAAATGAGTAAATTTTCTTTTTATATATTCGAATTTTGCATAGCTTAGGCAGAAATTGAGGTTATGTGTGTGTTTTTTATTTCATATTTTGATTGTCCCCTATAAAATTCTGTTGTGACGCTGATGATCCAGGTATTGCAATGAAAATTTAACCACGGACTAAGGAGATCAATTTGACAGATGCGCCTCAGCTTGTACAGGGTGTGCCAAATAGGTGGTGCCGTTTTGGCGAATTTCATTACCAAAATCTTAAGATTTTCAAAGGGAATACCCCATATTTTTATTCAGCCATTAATTCAAGGATAAGAAACAATTTAAGTTTGTAATTTATCTTATATTTAAATTCTTCACTTCTTGAGATATTCGAGGCAAAGACACGATACTATTTCTTTTGAAAATATAATACTTCTATTGCTAACAATACAGATTTATAAAAACTTTATTTTTATTTAAAGAAACATTTAGTGGTTAATTATCTAGCTAGATTGAATAAATAAATCTATAAAAAAAAGTTAACTAAAAAGTCTTCGTCAATTTGGTACATTACAATGCTCGTTTCATCTGGCATCAAAACAATAAAGAAATATCAAAATATTTAAAAACGTAGTTGGCTATGACATCACAATCCTTTTTTTACGCATTAAGGTATGAACAAACTTTGACATTTCTGATTCTTTTTGTTGTTTTTAATATTTCTAATTGAAAAGTTCATAAACTTAAATTATTTATTTTTGTTATTATTAAATCTTTCTTTAAATAAGAATTCTGAAGTTTTATTAAATCTGTTAAAGTGTGTACAGTCTGTTCATAGATATAAGAAAGTGACTAACTGATACGAATTAAGGAAAGACCCGGACAAGCTGTAAAAATAAAATATGACCGAACAGGTCCGTACTTTGCTTAGAATTTAATTATTTGGGGTTTTATTAGGAAAGATAATAAACAATGTTTATTTATTTATGTATGTATTTATGTTTAAACCTAAAATAAAATTACAAATTATTTTTATTACCTACTTAAACTACTTAAAATTATTCACATAATATATCAGTATCACTATCGCTGTCATCGCCTGTTCTAATTATCATTTATTCTATATTATTTGCAATATGGATATACGATTGTTCTGCCTTTTCTATATGTTTAACAGAATTTGCGTAACTTTGTGGAAGGGGGAAGTTACAAACTTCGGTTTCTATAAGTTTGAGGACATTGGAGTTAACACGGGGAAAATCATTGTTACGACGAATGGCAGATTTCAGTTGGTGCCAAACATGTTCAATGGGATTAAATATACAGTGGTAAGGTTTAAGCTTAAACTAACCAAAACTGTATGCCCTAATTTTTTTGCATAATTATTCCTTTTGTAGGTTCAAGCTTTGTAGAACCTCAATTAATTGCTTTTTTGTATAATCTTTGTGAAAATAAATGTTATTATCCATGTAGTTTTGGATTGTTGCTTTTGTATCACATGAGGAACGGGGTTTTAGTCAACTGTCTACTGTGAGACCTTGCATTGTCCATTATAATTACGCTATTAGGAGGAATGTTTGAAACTAGTTTGTTTTTAAACCAACTTTTCGCAGACAGAGAAAGTCGATTTGGAATCCCACCATCTTTAGAGCCAGCACGCAAAATAGTTATTCTTTTAACTATTTTTGATGGCGCGTTTGTTTTCCACTTATCAGTTGAGTCAACCCAACCCTATTCTGGGGTATCATAAGTGTCGAACCAGGTTTCATCCAAGCAAATAATTGACCTTTGTTCTCTGTAAATCCTATTTTTTTCAAGATATTCCAGTCGCCATTTCCGAATTCTAAAAGATTCCATTAAAACTTGCCTTTTGTCAATTTTTCTAAATCTAAAACCTATGTGTTGAATACACTTCCATAAGGTAGTTTTGCCACATTTAACACCGGTTTCATCTTTTTCAAGCCTGGTTCAAGATGCTGGCTTACTAGCACCACGTTCAATGAGAGCCAAATAAACATTGTTTATAACTTCCTTAGTCTCAATAGAATACTCGCACATATTTTGCATAATTCGCACACGATTCAACACAAGCTGTATTACACACGAAATAAGAATGATTACTAATAAACTTAAACTAAGTAGTATACCAAACCAAGGAATATTAAACACAAGTAGGTATAAAAATATTTTCTATTACGGGCCACAATTTTACCTGAATTTAAATTCCGAAACTTTAGGTAATAATCTTGTTGCATTGTACGGTAATGACCATTGGTGGTATAGAGTTGATTTTTCTTAAAACCTCTACCTATTAATGGACACCCTGTACTGTTAGCAATAGGATTTATTCGTATATCTGGAGTGTTATATATCGTTAAGAGAAGTAGTATCGTTTCTTTGCTATTTAAATTTCTTTATATTCAACAAGAATTTATACGGGTGTAAGTAAGTAAAATTTAAATATCAGATAAATTACAAACTTACATTGTTTTTTATCATTGAATTGATATCTGAATAAAAATATGGGGTATTCCATTTGAAAATCTTGAGATTTTGGTAATTAAATTCGCAATACCTGAATCAGTAGCATCACAACACAATTTTATACGGTGTAATCAAAATATGAAAAAAAAAAAAACACATAACCTCAATTTCTGTCTAAACCATGCAAAATTCGAATGGCTTATTTTAACCAAGGCTTCCAAAAATGTCGAAATACACAGGGTGTTCCATTTAAAATAAAGTTGATGTCAGAGAGACACTTTTGGGACACCCTGTATCAACAAAATTATAGTATTTGAAATCTGCAGGAGAGTCCAAGGAACTTTTTTTAGGAGAGTTTAGCATAGTTCTGAGAAATCTGGAAATCACGAAATTACAGACACCAAGTAACCAAAGACCTAATCAAAGCTTCACCATTCAGCGCAGCGCAGGTCCAGGAATTAAATTCTGATGGAAAAAAAATCCACAAAGGGCAAAACAGGTCGAAAAATAAGAGACTCCAAACTAACTAAAGAAATTTGACATTTGCCACGTGTGGATGAGCGCAAAATTTCCTTGACTAGCTCGGAACCTGTAATTATTCGACCTGTGACTGCCATCTATCAACGGGTGGCGAAACTATAGTTAGAGATCTGCAATATGTTCGTTTAGCTAAGAATGTGTGTATTATCGGCTTCGGTGGATGTAGAAATAACGAACTTCTACTACTGCGAAAAAATCATTCCAAATGAAACCCTGGTTTTCCAAGTTTCGACTCTCATTAAAAGCATTTTTCTCTTGCAGGTTACCAGTGCCTTGGTTGCTGTTTGGCATCATCTATCGCGAGGCCGTGGAGGTCAACTCTACAGGGATGGTGTGTTCGATAACAATCCTCTTCATGATGTTGATCTTTGTCATTATGTCGATCGCTTGCTTCAAGTGGCGGATGAACAAGGGCCTGGGTTTCACCATGTTCTTGTTATATTTCGCTTTTGTCGCGGTGTCGCTCATGTTCGAGTACAATTATATTAATTGTCCAGTTTAGATCGTGTCGACTCGGCTTAATGTTCGTACATGTTTAAAAAGACTTTGTGAGGTCCGGGGTTGGGTACTGAGCAATGCGGTTCTCCATTTTGTTAATTTTTAACGAAAGTGCATTCTTCGATCGTAGAAGTATTAGAAAATGGTTGATTGGAAAACTGAAGTGGTGCAGTACCGTAACCTAATCTCAATATATAGTGTTTTACTTAAAACTGACGACTTATATAACGTTTTGTACCGAAGGATTTGTAAGTATTTTGGTAATTGTTTCTCGGGTTCAATGCTGATATGTCGTTTTCATTTGGTTACTGCGTAGACAAGCTGGGAGAATCGAAACGGAACTTTGTTTTTTGTGACCATAAGTGAAAACTAGCACAAAACAATAAAAACGACCACAACAACCATATAGTTTCGGTATGTTATATACGTTGCACTAGTTATTTAATTAGCACGTTTTTATTTTAAAGGTCATGTAGGTCTGTACGCCATAATCGAACCTGAGCAATATGTAGTACTTGGATAGGCAGTTTTGATGTTCAACAGTTAAGAACAAAACTACTTCCATAAAATTTACTAATGGATAATAGGAACCGATCGCGATTTTGAAATGAATGAAATTCGCAGGTTATATTTTAATTAAAATTTAAAAAAGGGCTTTAGACATTAAGACATAGGGGGCTTTTTTATTCTTAGTTTAATGAAAAAGAAAAACTTAATGTAATGCAATAGTCATAATTCTTTTAGTTACTTATACAGCGGGTTTTTTAGCTGAATGTCAATCTCAAAAAGAAAACGTCATGTGAACATGTGTCCTAAACATCTTAACTTTTGGTGACGTCTTCAAAAATAAAATACATTACTATATATCAAGAGGTATTATTTAGTCTACCACATTTTTTTCAAAATACACCAGTGGCGGTCGTAAGGAATTTAATATGCCTATTTTGGCAGACACTGATGGAACGCCACTGATTTCTCTCAAAATAAAATCATTTCATCATTCCTAAAGAAATTTAATTTCTTGTTTATTGAAAATTAAAACTCCTTCTTTGCATAGTCATAACGATATCGTTAATATTAAGAGAATTGTTATCATTATCATTTCTTACTTAAGTAATAGTCCGTCTTATTAAAATACTTCGAAAAATCGAAGTGCGCAAACTTAAATGAATAAAACAAATTTAAATAGGAGTCGTTTATTATTTATCTTATTCGGATGTTATTTTATTTCACTAAAACTGCAAAAACAAATAGAATTATATTATTTGTTCAAAGACACGCCACTGATTTCCTTAAAATAAATAATGACGTTTGCATTCATTTATTTTTAGAAGAACCTGGTACACTAAATAATGCCCCCTGATACATGTGTGACAAATTTCATTGAAAAAGCGGAATTACAAATATTAAAAAAATATGTTTTATTTTTGAAAAATTTACTACTCAAAAGTTAAGATGGACCCAAAAACTACCCTGTAAAAATTCTTTTGGAATTCTTTAGAAGTTTTAATTCATACATTCCCATTCATACATATAGTAATTTCCTGACATATTTCAGTAACTATCCATTCCAAATGGTCAATATTCGAAAGATTTAAACATAAATTAAGAATGATAATACCTGGAAGTTTATAAAAATATCAAATATATACATAAAATTCATTAGACCACTCAGAATATATTATACAGAATAACTTTTTTTTAAATAAAAGTAAGAACAAAAAAGTTGCGCTTAAGGTGTAGACGCATAATTCGATACACGATACAGGATGATTCTCGTTAAATGGCCTATTAAAAGTTCTAGAAGATTAAATAAAGAAACTCGTCCAAATTTGTTGTACGGCCATAACAATGATGATAAACTATATTTCTAAGATATTTTGCAAGTTCCAACATTGAGATCTCAAATAGGACGCCCTGTATATTAGCACATTTTTGGATTCTTCCTGAAATTCCTGATATTTTTCGTACCTAACTTCAACTGTTTTCGAGATATTGACAGTTGAAAAGGTTTCCAACTTTGACAGGTCAGATTCCTATTTCAAAATAACAAGTTTATCACCTGGTATGCAAGTTTTGCACCATGTATGATCAAGTTCCCATTTTTAGTTCTCCAGAACTTTTTGACAATGGTTGCACTTCCGGTTTGAAAGGAAACGACAGTAACTCTCGAATTTTAAATGACACTACCTATATTTTTTTGCATTTTTGGATTTAAGAGATCATTCTACGTAGGATAGGGCGGTTTTTCTCTTTTTTTTGTTTTTTTTTATTTTTATTAAATTTTTGAAAATGATGTCTAGGAGGCTGGGCCATCATAAATACTCGAAACTTTTCTTTGCTTGTCTAATGGCAAATAACATTTAATGTAATGAAGTATTGATTTTTTTGGATAAACTATTTTTTTGCAAATAGCACCCTAGTGGGAACAAACGGTACTTTTCTTGGAACCTTTCGACACAAAAATTTTCAAAATACGTTAAAAAATAAGTTCAGAGGAAGAAAAAAACCAGATAGGTAAATACATTTTTATAAAAACAAAATATTACTTAGGTGGCTTCCGTTCTATTCATTATTAATTGTCAAGTCGGTAAGATTAAAAATGCAGAAGAGACTCTCGCGAAGCTCATGCGGTGAAAAGAAAAACAGATTAATATTTATAAAAAAGAAGATAAAATTCAAAATGTACAAACTGTCAGAATTTGCAATCATGCCGACTTGATGATGAATAGAAGCAAAGCCACCTAAGTAATATTTTGTTTTTATAAAAATATATTTACTTATCAGGTTTTTTCCTTCCTGTGAACTTATTTTTTGACGGATTTTGAAAATGTTGGTGTTAAAATGTTGCAAAAAAAGTACCGGTTTTAAAAAGTTTTAAAAGGTGCTATTTGAAAAAACTAAAAAAATTAATAGTTCATGATCAGGTGACCCGGTAAATAGTATATATGATGGTCACAACCTCCTAGACACAATTTTCAAAAATTAGATAACAATTTAAAGAAACAAAAAAAGAGAACAACTACGTAGAATGATATCCTGAATCCAAAACTGCAAAAAATAGGTTGTGACATTTAAAGTTCGAAAGTTTCTGGTTTTGCCGCTCAAACCATTGACTAGATATTGTCAAAAAGTGGACATTCAGTTTATTTTCGAACCTTTTCAAATCGCTATCTCAAGCCGTTTAAAAGTTATAGAGTGTTCCCACTTTCTTGTGTCACCCGGTATATATATATATATATATATATATATATATATATATATATATATATATATATATATATATATATATATATATATATATATATATATATATATATATATATATATATATATATATATATATATATATATATATATATATATATATATATATATATTTTTTTTTTTTTTCTAAAATATATGGGCAGATTATTTTTACTTATAAAAAACTTCAATTGCGTTTGATGTTCCCGTTTTGTCGTAAAATTGTAATTGTAACCAGTAATTCTTGAAATCGCGATCGGTGAGTAGTTTACTATAGATAGAAATATCCCCGACCACTATAGCAATAATAAAAAGTTTAAAATTTTTTTAAAAGTAGGGGACATTTCGTACTTTCATAATACCAGAACGAAATAGAGCGGTTCACTTAGTTTTTATTTGCTGCTAGGTTAAGTAGAGAATAGCGGAGTTTTAAAATTCGATAATGTAATTTATACATACACTGAACGTTTAAGGAAGGCGGAACAAATGACAATGCGGTTCTAAAATCAGTGTTTGGTCTGCGTCAATCTCCATCGTGCTCGCTTATGGAAGTTACCTCCCGACGGCAGTAAAACTCGAGTCCGGCAGATGTGAAAGGACACAACATTAGGGACGGACTATTAAAAGTTTTGGCAATAATGTTTTTTTGTTTATTTGGGTTGGCATACTCTTATTAAATTGCACTTGCAACAAAATGGCATGAAATACATACAATAAATTCGTTCATAATTCATAATTAAATTAAACAGAAGCTGTTTACGTATAGATATCGCGGCGGAACCCTTAATTAGACAGGAAACAGTCTGTGGGCGATCCTCTTTGGTGAAGGTCTTCAGTGGGATCCACCAAGGGTCCGTACTCGGCCCGGTATATTTTATAGTATATGTTGCTGATCTATGACGTTTTTTAGGGTCTGTCAAATGTGCTTTATTTGCGGACGATGCCAGTTTTACCTGATATGGTCCGAATCGGAATAACCAGCACAACATTATTGGGGAACTGGAGAGCAATGCAAACAATTGGTTTAAAAATAATTATTTGAAATTGAATACGGACAAAACTCAAAAAATATTCTTTTCGCTAGATAAATATGACAACGGCGAACGGCAGTCGCCTAAATTACTTGGCATTACAATTGATAGTAGACTTGACTGGAAAGATCATATTTTATCTGTTAAGCGAAAATTATCTTCCAGCTTATTCGTTCTTAGAAAAATTAGGGAGAGCCTAGACCAAAATGCCCTAATGACAATTTATTTCATTCCTACATATCATATGGCACAATATTATGGGGAAACTCCGTCAATGCTGTTCAAATATTAAGGATACAGAAAAGGGCTATAAGAATTATTGTTGGGGCTAAGCTCAATGAACACTGTACTCCATATTTTAAAAAATATAAGATAATGACACTGCCCTATATCTATATTGTCCATAATCTTTTAGAAATTCACAAACATATATTTGAAGGTGTGTCCCATAGTTCCAACACGTGCAAAAAATCTTATAAGAGTTCCAAAGCACAGACTTGTTACATAAGACAGTATGCTGCCAGATAGGTACAGACATATGGCTTTTTAGGTGTTCAAAACAAATATTAAAGTGTTGCTTATTGAAAATTGTTTCTATAGTGTGGACGAGTATTCCATCAAAATAAAAAAACTAAGTTAAAATCCTCGGCTTACTGAAATGTTTGAAGATCATCATGTGGACCTGTACATTTGTTATTGTTGACTACTGTGTTATTTATAAAATACTTTTTTTTTACACTTTTATACTTCTTACATTTTGTTTTTGTATTTTACCTCATATTGACAGGCTGCAATTGTATTATTATTGTACAATATGTGGTTAATAAAATATTTTTCTTCTTCTCCTTTTTCTAAGTTCTTGTCTGCTCTATTTTTTTTAATTTGGCACGGCTTATATTTGTATTTTGTAGCTTCTTTTTCAGTTTATCGAATGTAGGAACAACTTAGCTCTGATAAAGACAATACATGTTTCTTATTAGGTTCTGATCACTACTGCTGAGTTTTAAAATCACCGCTTTTCTTCAATTCTCCACTCTTCAGCTCCTTGTTTAATAAGTCCTCTAATTTTTCACAACCCGTTTTGCATACAACTATTTCGAAACGATGAATATTGAGACAGACTGTACGACCGATTTAAATTTAGAACCATCACATAAACTTCCCGAATAAAGTCGATGCGGACGTAGAGAACGGAGAAATTAAACATAGCAAAAATATACATATCTAGTTTGTAGATACTAAACGATAGAGTACCTAATTATTAACGTAGAAGAAACAAAAAAAAATATGTACATATTTAAGTGGCACTAAGATTTCACGATCTTTGCTGAAAGTGCCTATTGTTAATTTGTTTTATTACTTAGTGTGATAAGGATTAAAAACCAGCCTGTTAAAATTTTAAGACGGTTTGGTAAAGATGCGCGTCGCCACAGGGGTTCGAAAAGGTTCGGAAAATTTATTATCAAAATATTAAGACACATTTTGCTCATTAAAGCAATATTATGCGTGTAGTACTCATTGTATAAAAAATAATATTTTATGAAAGCCATGCTTTTCCGGAATTGATACAGAATGGTTCGAAGATACCTGTGAAACTTATGATTTGAAAAAAAATCAACATGAAAATCAAGAAACTAACTAACTATGGGGGATCAAAGTGTTAAGGCAGGGAAATGTTATAAATAATAATTTATTATTTCCACAACTGTTCCCAACATGTCAATAATTTAATTAAACTGAAATAGTTTTTCAGACGGAATCACTTTCTGTAGCACCAAGTCCTCTTTCCCGACCTGCCAACTTTTTGTTTCCAAACGGTAAGAAATAGTTCCATAATTTTGATCCAGGCATGAAGACCAGTAGCAGATTCAGTGCCGGTAAGGTAGGAATATACTTTTCCATCAATATTCCCTGCCTTCTATATTTGTTTCGGTTGGATGCAGGGACTGAATTTGTGATTTTACTCTTTCAACCTCTGTCTGAACCAGTTTGTATGATTGTATGATTTAAGAGAGTTCTTAAAGTCAACACTTGCGATGTCCAGTTTGGATGTTCCATGGGTTCCTCTCCACAGTTGATCCTTTTCTCTTTGGCTTAGTTCCTCTGTAGTTATTGTTTCTGCGAGGGTGTAGTATATTATTTTTTTTCATAGTCTTGTTGGAGCCCTCGCAGCATGTATCTCTAGCTCTGAGTACCTGGTGGTCGGCAAAAGGGAGGGTGAACAATATCCCCCCTCCCCCTATCACTAAAACCTGGTCTTAGTTGATGGCATTTTTTTGGCCTGGCTTCACTGAACTATATGTATTGGAATACAGAGCTTTGCTAGCCTTTACATATCTATTGCTTGTCGTAAATCTGCGAAAGTGTGAGTATGCCGTTTATATAGGATCGTTCGTCTTCTGTTGAGTTTTTAAGAACTCGACCACACCGTTTCTACAATCCAGTCTGCTCCCTTTTTCAAAAATAGATGAATGAAAATATGGTTTTTTATTGACGACTATTAGAAATGATAGCAAATTTTTTTCAGATACATTTTTTCCGCCAGTTTATGAGATACAAATTAGAGGCCTTTAACAAAATATATTTCGTTTTACTAGATTGTCGAAAAAAAATATTGCTTAAGACACGTCAGTAGTGTCTTTTTCTGACTGGTTTTCAATGAACCTGCAACCGAGCGCCCTATAGCGACGTGCAACTTCATTAAAAAAGATTTTTTCGTGCACAAACGAGTTTTTACCGCGAGCCTACCCCATCGACGTGGGTTAGGTTCGTACGCACACATACTTCGTTTAAACCCACTCTTTATTTATGTAGATTTACGTGTAAGTTAAAATAATTTAGCTCATGCTTGATCGTACCATTTCACTCTAAGCTCAAATCGATGTCAAAAACGAACACATCTTTTGAAATTGTCTACATTTCTGCCTTACGTAATTCATATCTTTCTAATTTATCGGTAGACTTTTAAAATCCTATACAAAAGAGAAAGTACGATTAGTTTAGAGCTGTAAACGCGTTATATATCAGCAGCTTAGTCGCAAAAATTGTCGCTCACTTCGCTGTGATTTACGCGTGTTTTCGTTTGTGCGGTGTCGAGATTTCACCCTAAAACCCCGAAAACCCACGGCTACTTTATTCTTGCAAAGTCCGACAACGCGCAATGTTAAAGATTGCTGCTAGGTAACAAGGCACACAATTTCTCTTCGTTTGCAAGTAAATAAAAAGTGTAAAATTATTAATAATTTCGTTTCAATATTGTTATAGTTTGAGGTCTTAACAATATTGTTATTTAACCATCATTACACAACAATGTAGAAACAGAAAACTTCTACAGTTTGACAATTCCTTGCGTTCTCTTATGAGGTTAGAAGTGCTGCGTTGTCACGTTTAAAAAATGTCGTAGATTTTCGGGTGAAACTTAAACACGCGTACGTTTTCGTCGGTGAATTTCGAGGTTTAGTTACGACAGAAACGAAAGAATCGACAATGATTAACGATCGGCGTTAACCTGGAAAAACGCGAATATCATTCTTTTAAACGATCTGTAACGGTCCTTGGGGAATGATCCCTGAATTAACGACCGCCCAAGTATACGCTTGTAATTTCTAGTCGCCATTGTATCGGTGCACTTAAGACGCTTGATGTAAGTCCAAATAGTTTGTCATATATCTCGTTTATTTTTTGTTTTAGAGAAAAATGTTAAATGCGAAAGTTATAGACGAGACGTGAAGAAACATGTACAGGGGACATTTTTCTCACAAAATTAAAAATTTGCATATTTATTTTTCTTCTTCTGTTCGGAGTTTTGTTCAAGGCAAATATAGAAAATAAAATGGAGTCAAAAATATAGAGTTTTAAACTCTACATTTTTTACAAAAAAATTGCCATAAATACGAAAGCACGTGACCATAACAACCCTACATTGGGTGATTGAGTATAAGAGGGAGTATCTAATATTCCGTTCCGTTCCGTTGAAAATAATTTTAAATGTTGTCTTTGGTTTTATCTATCACTTTCGTTTTTAACTTTTTTTCTCCATTAAACACAGGACATTTTTGTGAAAAAAATGGCCATAAATCCAAAAACACTCGGCATAGACCATCTACTAATGCAATAATATACAAGGGGTTCCCTTAAAAAATACATACATGTAAGCAAACCAAAAAAAAACAAAAATAGAATATATTAATATTAACAACAAAAACGTTGTGAAATTTTCAGCATAACTGTTATATATTTTTTAAAATGAATCATTTTCAATCATTGAATGGAAAAGTATTTTGCATTTTTCACTGTTTTTTCTTTTAATACAAAAATGCTTTTACTTTTTTTTCTCATATTTATGAATTGATTATGATTATGTAAAGCTATAGCAACTTTTTAGTGTATAATATCTTTACGTCAAGCCTTGTTCAAAATATGGTTACGAAATTGTTTTTGTTTACTTATCCTCCTCCTCCTTTATGATTGGCTCGACTTACCAATGTACAATTCGTGATTAGATTTCCACTTCGCAAATTGTGCGTGATAAATTTAAATATAAGCGAATAAAACTTACAAAAAAAAATGTAAAGAGAACTAGTCCAGTAGAATAGGCGTTCCATTTATCGTAAGATTTTATTTCGGCTTTATAATATACCCGACACCAAACTTAATGACCCTTTGTACAGCTTATGGTAAATAAATAACGTTGACCCTTTTTGAAACTAGAAATAAATCGCATTTTTAATTATTATTATTAATTATTTAAGTGTAATTTTCTTGCAAATTATTTTTTCACAATTTGCCTGCGTATAATTAAGTTAATTTATCAATAGCACAAATTTTGCGTGAAGTATTGTTTGTGTACATAAGGGGTGACAGAAAATTACTCTCCAGCCGGAGCAGTGGTGTGTGCGCAGTTACGTCACGTATAGTGACGTATGTCTTAGCTATATTGCTACCATAACCACAAATAACGATTTCAAAACTGACAAACGAAGAGAAAGACGTCGTACTATGACGTAACTGCATAATTGCCCTGACTGGACTTTACATACAATCTGAGGCTTCTTTTCTATTTAGATAAATTAACGACAAGCTATTCGTCTGTCACTTCTGAATGTGCAAAGCGGTTTGCTCAGAAGGTTGTAAGTAAATCGAATCAAGAAATTCGTACAATTTAACGATTATTTACAAATACGTACATATCTTTAGACATACTCGGTTTTAGTCACGTGATTTTCGCGAATTTATTCCTTTTACGTCAGGCTTTGAAAAAGGTTTACTGTAAATGTTAACTCGATTTCTGTTCTTATAACAGTTCATGTAATTTATGCAGTTGTTTAAAAAATATTTTAAATCGTTTTACCTCTTTGTGTATAGCTTAATCGGGTTTTACGGAACTATCTCATTAGCTTCCCACTTCCTCGAATATTTATACAAACCAAGTATACCTTGCATTTCTTTAGAGACCGTACTCTTAAGGTTATGTTGAAGAATTTTACCACTGACCGTATATTGCTCTGTATAATATGCACTTGTCAGCGGTAAGCACCCATTATTTGGTAAAAAAAATATTAAAATGTACATGATAAAAGATAAAAAGTTGTTAATGATGTATCCCTATAGATTGTTATTGCTAGAAAGTTTTTATTATATTATAAAAAATGTATTTACAACCATTTCATTAATGGTATGTTACTTTTTGCCGACAATATAAGATAAAAGTATTTAGAATGATTTTTGTGTTATGCCTATCCCTAAAAAAATTCATTTCAATTTCATTAATTTTAATCTTTCATATTGCCTTGCCTTTTAAACGTGGAAAAAACATGAAAACTACTCAAAACTTATTCATTTCTCCCTTATTTCTATTGCGCATTGCACAGGTTGTTTACTTTCGACACGGCCTTGACCAAAACTAGCGTACGTAACCTTACCACGGATTCTGTGGGTAGCATTGCACAAGGCAGGTTGGTTATTGTTTGCTGTCAACAGAATCCGAGTTTACCAACATTTAAGACTTGTTTTAGGCCAAATTGTTATTGTGGTCGATTTTAGTTAATAGATTGTGTCTTTTTGTGATATGACTGTCCAGCGGTTTAGCTGTTTTCACGAATCCATAACCCCGCACGTATTAATATTGTGAAGCACAGTAGCAACTGGCCGAATGGTCTTAGCAATTGTGGTCAATAGAAGTAAAGAAGAAGAAGAACCGTACCACGGCAGTATAATATAGAAATCGGTTTTAATTAGTGTTGTTTGACGTAAAATATTGTTTCGTATATTCGTTATCTGAAGTGACAGATGTTCATTGCCTATAAATTTGGGAAATATTGTTCGTCTTATGCAGATGTATGTTAACACGGTTTCCGGATGTCTTATATTCACGCTGGCAACCAGGCCATTTGGGATGGATCGGATATTCCGTATGAGATAATTGCGGGACCCGTTAGAAAAATCCGTCGTCATTTTGTGACAGTTTATTTAGAAGTTGTTCCACTGTTTGAATATGTTAATTCATTGGAAAGGTCACCATCACCAGTCAAATGGCGGAATGATCCCAGCAGTCTTTGCCGGTTGAAGTAAAAGAAGAAGAAGAAGGACCTTACCACGTTTAAGGCAAATCTATAGTAAACAGTCGTTAAAATTTTGAAAATGAGTGTAAAACGGCAAATTTTTTTACAACATTTAGATTCTAAACGCACAATAAAATTGCCGGCTAACGAATTGTTTAACTTGGGACGAAACAAGGAAACCGACGTAAAAGATATCAAAGTTTCGAAAAAACAAATTGTTTGTTTCGCTGACAGCGATTTAAATCATTTGAAAATCAAACCCATCGGTAGGGCTGTATCGACGGTCAATGGATTTGCGCTAAAGTATGGCCAAGTGTATTCGTTAAAACACGGCGATTTGTTAGAGTTGCGGTTTGGCGAACATAAATTTAAAGTGATATTTGATCCAGACCCTGACGCAAATGGAGAACAGTCTCCCAAGAAACAGAAAATGGATTTTCCCGTCTTTCATTTAAACAAAGTTAAGACCAAATTAAGTGAGAAAGATAATTCGTTATCGAACAGTGGCGTTTGGGAAAGTATTAATAATAATGAGCTGCTGATTTTTACGTGTGAAAACTGCACGGGGAAGTCAAAGATCGCGGCGTTCGACATAGATGGCACAATCATAAAAACGAAATCTGGAGCCCGGTTTCCTAAAAACGGTGACGATTGGACTTTTAACTTTGACGTGGTAAAAAATCAGCTCTCAAAATTGGTGAACGAAGATTATAAGATTGTTTTCTTTACCAATCAATCAGGAGTTGGAAACGATGCTTCAAAAATCAAAGAATTCAAAAGGAAAATTGAAAATATTATAAAAGCTTTAAATTTACCAATGCAGGTATTCATTTCTTTAGGAAAAGGAATTTATAGAAAACCCAGGACAGGCATGTGGCAGGAATTGATAAAAGAGAGAAACGATGGTGTCGATGTAGATTTGTCTCATTGTTTTTATGTCGGAGATGCTGCGGGGCGTGAAAAAAATTGGATGCCCAAGAGAAACAAAGACCATTCTATAGCGGATAGATTATTCGCTATCAATTTAGGTATCATAAATTGTTGTAATTAATTAATTTTATTTCATTAAATAATTAATTTTAGGTCTGAATTTTTATACACCGGAAGAATATTTTTTAAAAGCAAAACCAGCCCCTTTCAAAATGCCCGAGTTTGATCCAAGAGAGGATACGAAAAACCTCAAGATTCCCGATGTAAGCTGCGATAAATTGAATGTTGTGTTGATGGTGGGCGGTCCCGGGTCTGGGAAGAGCATTTTTTGTAAAACCCATCTGCTGCCCCTGGGATATGTTCACGTCAGCAGGGACAAATTGGGCAGTTGGCAAAAGTGTGTGAAACTTATGGAAGAGTCCCTGACTATGAAAAAAAACGTTGTAATTGACAACACAAATGTGGACAAAGAAACCAGACAGAAGTTCATCCAAGCAGCTAAGAATTACAATGCCGACATTCGGTGTTTTGTTATGTCTACTTCGTTGTACCAAATGAGGCACAATAACAGGTTTAGGGAATTAACTGACAAATCTCACGCTATTGTAAGTGACATAATTATATTTAGTTTCCGGAAAAACTATCAAGAGCCTGAATTATCTGAAGGGTACTCTCAGATTTTACAAATTCCCTTCATTTGCCATTTTGACAATCCTGAACATGAGAAGCTTTATAAAACATTTTTATTGGATTAATTTTGAATACATTGCATTAGTTCAAGTGTTACCGTAATTAGTTGTTTTTAATGAACCAGTCCTCGCAGTATATCTGAAGAATAAATAACTTTTTAGCAAAGATGGTTCACCTAAATTTTCACAGATTCTTTATCTGATCAACTCTGCTGATTGCCTTCTGATGCGGTAAAGGACAACAGTTTTCGAAGCGTAATGTAACAAGAAAGATGGAACAATGAGATATCTTTGTAATGATTAATTTTTTTATTACAGTACAAGTTAAAATAAAATATATTATTTTCTTATAAAGACGCGCTAGTACTGTCCAGATTAAGTTTTTGCTCAAATTTTTTACCATTGCCGTTTTTCTGGCTGTGGTGTACCCTTTTCTGAAAGGCAATTTGTCAGATCCTGTGGAAAATTCAATTTCATGGTAGCCCCCTGGTAGAAAAATATGTGACCTAATTTATGTTCAGTCTCAATCAATATCCAGAACATCCTAAAGGGATGTAGTAAAGAAAAATGAATAAAATGTAATTTTACACACAAAATTGTAAAAAAGGGATCATCGAAGATAATATATATATATATATATATATATATATATATATATATATATATATATATATATATATATATATATATATATATATATTCTTAAGAAATGGTTCTTGGGTTTTTTTTGGTCCTTTTTTAGTGAAATTAAAATAAGTTTCCGTTACTTGTGAAACATTTTATTTTTTGTGGCCTTCAAGACCTTCTTCAGACATTTAATTTTAACCTACAAAAATAAAATAAAATTATTTATAGCATTGTTTTCCTGGTCATAATTAAAACGTAGATAAAAATTTGTATAGGAGTCAGCATTGAAATGATTAAAAATTACTAGTGCAAGTCAATAGAACAAACAAAGTGATTAAAAATTGTATAAAAATAGATGCACAACAATAAAACATACATAATTTTTTATATTACGATTACATACATACCTTAAGCCAAAAATCAACGGTTCACTATATAGTTGTTTGGTAATTTACAGTTTTACAACATTCTCAACAGACATATTGAATATGTAAATCGACAAGCCACATTGATAAGACGACGAACCAAAACAATAATGCGAAGCCCGGATGTACGTTTCTTCACAGTAGGACAACGGAGTTTTTTTTTTCTAAAGCTTTTTTTTTTTTTGTTTGTGTGAGATTCACCCGTTAATGTGTCTCTTTATTTAATTAAGTTGTGATAAATTTTGCTGAGATTTTTTGTGTCAGTCTTAGAGTTTATGGCGTTTGGAACTCTAAGACTGACACAAAAAATCTCAGCAAAATTTATCACAACTTAATTAAATAAAGAGACACATTAACCGGTGATCCAAGAACTCACCAACTAGAAATATATATATATATATATATATATATATATATATATATATATATATATATATATATATATATATATATTTTTTTTTTTTTTTTTTCACGTATTGATTCACGGATGGAAAAATGTGATGACACTATATTCCGGGATATCATCCGTTCGCTTGTTGAACTGGAATCCTGCAGACGTTTCGCCAAAATCTCACTTGGCAATGCTCGCGCTCCGAAACACTGTTCTTTATTCCTCCACTCATCTTCTTTAATTGATCTGTCCTTCATTATATTTCTTATACCATCGTTCCATGAGATCATAGGTCTTCCTTTTTCATTCTGTTTTTGGGGGTATATTTTAGTGCTCTTTTTGGCCATCTCTCATCGTTCATTCTCTGTACGTGGCCATACCATATAAGTTGTCTAGTTTCTATTCGGTCAGTGCTTCGACAACTTGCCTCGGACTGTTCCAATCAGTTACGGTATAATCTATTGAGGTCCAACAACTGGTGCACACCGGGTCTTCTTAGCACAAAAACGTGGTATTCGTTACATTATATATTTATTCCGTTTTGATTTACGTCCAAAGTAACGTGACTATCTATATATCTAAAAATGCCCACTGTCTCGTCGCTATATCGAAAGCTTAAAAATTGTCCCATAAGTTTCTGATAACCTGGGTGGAAGGAAAAAGAATGTAAAAAAACGGGTTTTTATTTAGTCTCGCCGCTCAGGAATTTATAAATCACAGAAAAGTCCTTATTTGCTAACCCGTGGTTGATCATTGTCCGGAACAGTTGATGCGTCATGGCGCCCAAAGGAACTGGCGCATTAATGCCGAGAGCTGCTACTTCTGCCAATCCCAAGTCTTTAGCGATGAGACCCACGGAAAAACCACCGTCGTAATTGTTACCGGCAGGGACGTTCGGTAGGACTCCGGGCACCGGATTGTACGTGTCGGACGACCACGAACGTCCGGTTGATATGTTTACTACCGACGTTAGTAATTTCGGATCGAGACCTAATTTGACTCCAAGGTTGAGGGCCTCCGCTGTACCGATCATGGTTATGCCTGCAAAATTCGCGATGTTTTGTTGTGCTCCAACAACTACAATGATTTGAAATGTCAGGTAAAGTCTGTTCATAGATATAAGGAAGTGACTAACTGATACGAATTAAGGAAAGACCCGGGCAATCAGGTCCGTACTTTGCTTAAAATTTAATTATTTGGGGTTTTGTTAGGAAAGATGCTAAACAATATTTATTTATTTATGTATGTATTTATGTTTAAATCTTAAATAAAATTACAAATTATTTTTATTACCTACTATCACTATCACTACCGCTATCATCGCCTGTTATAATTATTATTTGTTCTATATTATTTGCAATATGGATGCACAATTGTTCTGCTTTTCCTATATGTTTAAAAGAATTTGCCCAACTTTGTGGTGGGATGTTAAAAACTTCGGTTTCTATAAGTCTGAGGACATTGGAGTTAACAAGGGGAAAAACATTGTTACGACGAATGGCAGATTTCAGTTGGTGCCAAACATGTTCAATGGGATTAAATATACAGTGGTAGGGTGGAAGCCTTAAAACTATATGCCCTAGATTTTTTATATAATCATCACAGACGTATTCCTTTTGTAGGTTCAAGCTTTGTAGAACCTCAATTAATTGCTTTTTGGTATAATCTTCGTGAAAATATTGGGTTGTTCGGAAAGTCATTTCGTTTTTTTTGGGGAACATGAAAGACAGTTTTCGTATAATGAATAAATATTTTCCATTCTGGTCCAACACCTTTTGCCATCTTTCTGACAGTAACATAATTCCCCTCTCATAAAAGTTTTGGTCCTTGCTGGCAAAAAACTGGTTCAGGTGGTTTTGACATCTTTATTTGAGGTAAAGGTTTTGCCATCCAAAAAATGTTGCAGGGACCGGAACAAATAGTAGTCGGAAGGCGCCAGATCTGGAGAATATGGTGGATGTTGCAGTACGTCCCATTCAAGCTGTAAAAGTTTTTGGCGAGTGACCAAACTTGTGTGAGGTCTCGCATTATCCTGGTGGAACACTACACCCTTCCTGTTGATTAATTCGGGCCTCTTCTCTTTAAGTGAATCATTCAATTTGTCCAGTTGATGACAATAGACTTCTGAATTAATCGTTGTATTGTCCGGCAAAAGCTAAAAAAAAAACGATTCTTTTGACATCCCACCAAACGGAGAGCATCACCTTTTTTTTGGTGAATGTTGGCTTTTGACACGCTTTAAGCCGGTTCATCTTTTCTGCTCCATGACCTCTTGCGTTTAACATTGTTGTATACAACCCATTTTTCGTCCCCAGTAATAATCCGCGTCAAAAATGGATCATTTTCTTGACGTTTGAGGAGCGAATCACACACGTCAACGCGACGACACAAATTTCGCTCCGTAAGGACATGGGGCACCCACACATCGAGCTTCGAGGTTAAGCCCCATGCCTTTCAAATGGCCATAAACAGTCGAATTCGACAAATTTAATCTCTCACCGATCTCTCGTGTGGTTATTCGCCGATTTGCATCAACTAATGCCTTTATCGCATCTTTGTCAGCTTCGACCGGCCTTCCAGACCGTGGTGCATCTTCGACATCAAAATTGCCGGATCGAAATTTTGCAAACCAGTTCTGGCACTGGCGTACTGTTAACACGCCTTCTCCATACACATCCGTCAATTTTTTTCTCGTTTGGACAGCATTTTTACCTTTTCTGAAGTAAAAAAGTAAAATATGACGAACATACTGCTTATTGCTCTCCATATTTAAAAGGGCACCAACCAAAAACTACTGCGTAGAATCAATAGAACTTTTTCACACACAAGCCTTGCAATATCAGATCTCAAGACATTTAATGGTTATGCGGCTTAAGTGTGAAGTTGGTTTCGAAAAAACGTAATTAAGTCCTCTGACGGGAAAAAACGAAATGACTTTCCGAACAACCTTATAAATGTCGTTATTACACATGTAGTTTTGCATAGTTGCTTTTGTGTCACATGAGAAAGGGGTTTTAGTCAACTGTCCATTGTGATAACTTGCAGTGTCCATTACAATGACGCTATTAGGAGAAATGTTTGAAACTAGTTTGTTTTTAAACCAACTTTCAAATAAATCGGTGGCGGTGTCTTCATGGAAATTCAGAGAAGAATCTTTAATATTTTCTGCAGACAGAGAAAGTCCATTTGGAATCCAACCATCTTTAGAGCCAACATGCAAAATTGTTATTCTTTTACCTCTTTTTGATGGCGCGTTTGTTTTACACTTATCAGTTGAGTCAACCCAACCCTTTTCCGGAGTATCATAAGTGTCGAACCAGGTTTTATCCAAGTAAATAATTGGCCTTTGTTGTTCTCTGTAAACACTAATTTTTTCTAGATTTTCCAGTCGCCATTTCCGAATTCTAAAAGATTCCATTAAAATTTGCCTTTTGTCAATTTTTTTTAATCTAAAACCCATGTGTTGAATATACTTCCATAAGGTAGTTCTGCCACATTTAACACCGGTTTCATCTTTTTCAAGCATCTTAATTAAGATATCTAATGTAGGCACGCTTTGTTCCTCGTATAACTGGTAAATTTTACGCAAATTACAAAAGTCTTCCAATTTCGATATAAAAATCACATCAGTCAAACGAAGCAGCTATTTGACATTCGATCAATTGCTACATTCAGATTCCGCGAGACTCACCTAGACTTTCCAAAACGGGACCGAACGCCATTTGGAATTTTGATCAATTAAAATATCTGGTTGGTTGGGTTTTTTGTGACACTATCCAAGTGGTTTTTGAGGGGGAATCCGCAATCAAAAAAGGTGGTTGAAATAAAATTATTTTTGTATGATTAGTAGTTCTCGTTATACTTATACCAGGAAAATCAACCGCAGCTAATCGGTAAAGTTGAATGTCTAAACAGAACACTCGTTCAGAAAGTAAGATCGTTATTGCTCGACCGGAAAATGGACAAAATTTGTTGAGGAGAAGCAGCCAGGGTTTATACTTACATAATCAATATCATTATCAAATAATAAGGCACCATTTTAAATGTGGACAAATCAGATTTGATTTGATTTAAAAAAAACGAAAAATATTAATCAGAGATGTAATATTTAACAAAACAGCAAGAGGATACAAATGAAAGTCACGAAAAAACAGAGCACACTCCTAACGAAAATGAAACAAACTGAATATGATACAATCATTCACAGCAAGGCAGAAACAATGGAAATTAAACATTCAGAAGGAAAAGTGATAGAAAATTATGCAGATTACATATATTTAAAAAGTGAGGAAAGGGAATTAAACCGTGAACAAGGCAATAAAAGTAGAGCAAAGTGAAGGGTAAAGAAATCAACTGATGATACTCCTGACATATGAAGAAGCAATATGTAGCAGGGGATCACAGAAGAAAAAGAATCTTTAAAATTTTGGTTAAACGGGTTTTTAGAATTAAAGATAAGGGAAACTATGTTCAAATTTTATTATAAATTATTGAGTGAGTCATCCAGTGAAACAATTATGGACAACAATGTAAATTCATGGACTATACAATGGTATGTAAGTCGAGTCTTCTTTCAGTTTTTTTCACTCAGTTTTATCATTAAAGCCCGATTGTAAAGATTAAATGATGAATATCTGAGGAAATATACATGCATATACCAAATAGACATAAAAAAGAGACCCGAAAGTATGTATGGACACAAACAGGCTCCTATGAATTTTGTTACAAGTTTTGCAAAATTTGGAGATTTCTAACTATTTAAGTAGATGATGGGTAAACAATTGGAGGAAACGAACAATAGATAAAAATTACTAGAAATGGGTGAACAGAAATTTGAAAAATTACTGAAAAAAATTGAAAAAGTCTAGTAGTATTTAGTAAAATAAAAGATTTTAAAACAATATTCCTGAATCTCTCGACATCATTTCAGATATATTAAAGTCCGAGAATCTGGAACCAAACATCTTAATTGAAAAATGCTTGTCGGAAACACATTTGTCTTGTAACAGCCAAACTATTGAACAAACCTCGGGAACAGCTATGGGTTCTACACTATCACCAGTCATCGCGAATATATTTATGGAAGCGATTGAGAAGAAAGCTCTCGACACCTTTCATCTAAACACAAAATTATAGAAACGCTACGTCGAAGATACTTATGTTATTTGGCCTCATGGTCAAGAAACCCTAGTAGATTTCCTTAGACATTTAAACTCCATACATCCAAACATACGTTTTACCATTGAGTTGGAAACTAATGATAACCTTCCATTTTTAGATATGCTCATCAATAGAAAATCAGACCTAACATTGGGTCATTGTATTTACCTTAATGCATGGTCATATCAACTCTCTTGTTTACACAGGCGTAAAACTATCTCAGCCTGAGTCACTGATCCAAGAATTAAAACACCTTACCTCTGCTCTCCTCTCTAATAATATTAAGTGTTCCACCAAAAAATGTGTGTGTGAAAGCAATCCTACACTTGCCACTGTGGTCTTTCCTTACATTCAAAACCTCACTGACCACATATCAAAAGTTCTAAAGAAGTATAGCGTCAAAACCAGATTTACCACTTCTCCAAACATCTCCCAACATCTTCGGTCCGTCAAAGACAAAATTCTATTTGAGATGCCCGGAGTTTACAGCATTCCATGCATATGCGGCAAAGAATACTTTGGAGAGACCGGCCGACAAATATCAACTACACTCAAAGAACACGAAAAGGCCTTACGACAAGACAAAAAAACTCATCAGGTCTTGCCGAACACACTCATGAAACTGGACAAAAAATTTTATTCGATAAAACTAAAATTCTTGCATATAATCAGTTTTCTACCAACGAAAAATCCAAGAGGCTATAACAATCTTAACCGCGACTCAGGTCTCTACCTGTCACCAATTTGGGAATCAGTCATCCGAGACGGTGTTTATGCCTCTCATTTAGCTCCGCCCCTCTCAAACAATATATAAGCAGGTACAGTATTAAGTATTGATACTATTAAACGTAAAACAAATGGCAATATATATGGAGATTAGTCATATAATAACACTAAATCACACAATGTTCATTCACTTAGGAATAAAAGGAGAAAATCTTTAAGTCTTTTGGCGATCGCTGTGGTCCATAACTTAAATAACATGGACCGCCCACTTCAGAAAAATACTGTAAAATATTGTCGTTGGTTCAAAAAAATTATGTAAAATCATGGCGGCATATACTAAATTAATCAAAACTAACTAATAAACTAATAGAAGGGTCAGTTAGCGTTCCAGGCCCTTACTTTCCTGCGCCATCTATAGATTTCGCCCGAACACAGACACAGTGCAAACTCAGCACGAAAACGTAGACATTCCATAAAACTGCCCAAATCTGATTTGGTAAAAGGAATAACTATAATAAGATTGAAAGAATCTTATGAGTCACATCTTGACATTTGCGTGTAAATTACTGACTGCCAGACTGCGTTCAAGTCAGGAGTTATAAGTTATAAACATTGAAGGGAAAGCGTGTTGTGTTTAGTCTATTTTTGCTGAAAATCGGAGGAAGATGGAATCATATTTCATAATTATAGAAAAGCGTGAAGTCGTCAATCCCTACATTCTAAATTTTAGATGAAGAATCCAAATAAATCATCATAGCTTTTACCTAATATTAAATTGTTGCACAGCTTGGTAATCTGTCCGGCGCCGTAGTCCCCGCAATGTAAGACCTTCTTGCCCATAGTCAACAATATCGGTTCGACCACGTCTACGTCCGTTTTACTACCCCCCACCATGAAAGTCAAAGTGCCGTCTGCAGCCCCCACAACTCCCCCCGAGACTGGGGTATCCAGAAAACGGACTCCGCTGTCCTGCGCTGCCTTGGCCAAGTCTCTGGCTACTTCGGGTCCGGTCGTCGAACTGTCCAGCAGATACGCGTTTTTAGAAAGTTTTTTTAGAATACCTGCAGTAGTAGAAAGATGGTTACAACCACACAATGTTTAAGCATTTAATAATACGAGGGTCCTTCAATAAGTCCTTGAAAAAAAAAGCAGGCCATTTTTTGTTACTTTTCAACATAATTTTTTTTCTCTGGGCGATTACTTCCTCGTTTGACGAAGTCACTGGGTGCCAAATTCGGTAATAATTGAAACAATTCCATAATGTTGGTCATCATAACTGCGCAGGTGTGCAGTCCTTCATTATCTTGATGAAACAGGATCTCTTGATTTTTTTGCTCACCCATTCCACTAATGACACATACTGTCCCTTTCCCAAGAGTGAATGTCATAACCTTATTGCCTTCTTTGAAGCCCGTTCCTCTTCAAAAATCCACTGTTTTGGCTGTTCTTTTGTATCTGAAGTGTAGTAATGTATCCATGCTTAATCAATAGTTATATATATCATCACGCGATTCTGCCCTGTAAGCAAACGCGGCATCCATCTTGAAGTACCTGGCGATCTTTTCGGTGGTAGACACTTCCATAGAGCATCTTTTGTAATTATTCTTTATTTGGCCACTGCTTCCCAAGGCAATTGATCAGCTTATTACCACGTTTTAAATATTTAAACAAATTTATTACGATCACATCACCTAAGAGTCCCAGTGGGCAGAGGGCGTTTCCGTCTGCATTCATCTTTTGTGTATAAACGACCACAACCACTCGTCCAAACATAAACAATTGCATGCACAGAAGGAGATGGCCAGTCAGCTATGATTTTCTTTCGGCATCAACCCTTGATCACGAATTTGACGTCTGTGCTTCCAAAATAATATTGAAAAATTAAAAAAAAAAATCAAAAACAAATTTATTAAATAACAAATATATCAGAACGAATATTACGGAACATCAGAGTACGTGTGCCAAAGAAATACATAATACATGCTTTAATAACACACAAGGATTAGGCTAGTGAAATAAAAGATTTTTTTTGGCAATATCGAACTCAATAGAATTGTTATTAGACAGGCTAAAATATTTTTCTAAAGGCACGATTAAGAAGATCTTTTTCATTATTTGTTACATAATTTGGAGCGATTGCATTAAATTTCTTGACAATACCTGCATTTTGCTTGATACCATTGATTTTAGGCGATCTAAGGTATTGGTTTATATTAGGTACACTTTTTAAGGTATTGACGATTTGCGGTGTTGTTCATGGGCGCAGTAGACAGTTATAAAAATTGTTTTCAATTAATTTATTTTACAGTTATACAATTTGCTTGCTTTTTTTAACATTATCTTTATAATGATGATTTAATAAATAAAATTTATGCAATAGTGCTTTCATCTTTTCCGTAAGGTATTTGATGTGAATTTTTTGACTTTAATTTTTCGTCTATTGGATTTTTGTAGTCATTATTTTTTATAATAAATGTAATAAATATAAAATATATTTAGCTGATTGTTATAGTTTATATATTTCTTTTTTATTTCAGGAGTAGGATCAGATAGTTTTCGATAATGAATCTTCCTAATACCTATGTTATTTTTGTTTGAATCCTGCTATTTATTTTTGTTATTGTACTAACCAACTTAGGCAAGTGATCAGTTATGTCATGTTCGACAATAAATAGAGAACTGAAAAGCTTTTTTACTTCTCTCTTAAGCCGACTTTCCGCCACAGACTACTCAACAACTCTAATCTGTGTTACCACACCTCTTCTTCTTTTCTGCCAATAGTTCGTAGGTTAACATAATCATTCAATCCATCTGAACTAACCTCGCTTGAGCCCCAGAGATCGCGAGACTCAGATTAAAATTTCCGAAATCTTATAACGCTTTTATCCATTTTTTTAAATAAATTAAAGTTCTATACTCTAATCGGCAACAACCAAAGTATAAGATGGATACATCTCAAATTCGACAGCTGACTGCTTAGTGGCAACTATTTATTTTTAGGACTATAGTCACCATCTCTTGTATTTCCTAAGAACTTATCGAACGAACCTCGTAATAAAAAAAGGAATAAAAATTCGCGTAGCTTCAGCTACAGCGTCTCACCTTGAGGCCCTAATACCGTCTCCTTAACTACGCCTCCATTGGGCAACATCGTTATGACTACGTCGCTACCGTCTACAGCTTCATCCGCTGACTGGCATGGAATGGCTCCCTTGACGCTACCGGCTGCGGCCGGAGAGACGTCGTATACTTTTAATTTGATATTTTGTCCCTTCTTTAATAAATTGGTGGCCATTCTCGCGCCCATCTGACCCAGCCCGATGAAAGCCACGTTGCTGCTGGCATGGCGTTCTAGGAATGACAAATTGCCAAATTGTGTGATTATTAACTCAAGGATTAATAATAATGTGCGAAAGGTTAATGCCGAAACACAGATTGGACTTATTAGAGGACTAGGGACTAGAAAACCAATAACAAAACATTGAATTCTTTTTTAAACTACTTACAGGATAACTATTACGAAAACGCAAAATAAATTAGATTTTTCCATTTATCATAAACCTTAACATACGGACACATTCATAACACCTCAACACATTCACAACAGCTCAAATCACCCTTATACACACAAAATGGCTGCATTTCACTCTTTTATACACAGACTTCTTAATACGCCACTCTCAATAGAAAATTACAACCAAGAACTTAATATCATTAAACAAATGGCACTGAACAACGGCTACAATCCGTCCGTTATAGATACAATTATAAATAAAAAACAAATCCAGACAATAGTAAACTCTATCCAAAACCTAATAGAGAACACGAACAATTTAAAACAATCACATACATAGGAGAACCCAGTGAAAAAGTTTCAAAACATTTGTCAAAATGTGGTTAGTTTTGGTTAGTTTTCACAACTAACAACACAATAGCAAAATTTTTAAATAACAATAAAACGAAATGTCCCAAGGCTCAAAAATCAGGTGTCTATAGGTTGAAATGCGGATGTTGTCCTAAAATTTATATTGGACAGACAGTTAGATCCTTCAAGAAACGCATTAACGAACATAAAAAAGCATTTAAAAACAATAGTCTAGATTTTGAACCCAGAAATTTTGATATTTTGCATACAGCCGCAATAAGTCATTCAAATCTCTTAACGATCAGTACCTATCCTTTATTGAACTTAAATTCTCGCAACAGCATTAATTAAGGTTCTATTGTCATTTTTCGGTGTATATATAGTAGCAGGTAGTTTGTAAATATTACATTTGATAAAGCCACGGTGTTATCGAAACAATTGTCATGTAAAAATATATGATTTCGTGAAAATCTGAACTTTTAGTTCTTATTTATTTTATTCTTGACTAACAATTTTTGATTTTTACTTTTAATAAACCAGTAATATTCGTAATAAAACACCAATCGCGATGAATCTATCCATTCATCGCCATTCACAAAAAATCAGTTCGGTTTAAGTACAAAATTAGTTTTCGACCTTTCCGTTGCGTAATGCTTTTTCCGAAAATAAATTGTTAATCTGTTTTTTTTTTGTTTATTTAGCGATAAACCTTCCGATAAAATAAAACTGTTCACTATTAGCGGTATACGCTAGTGTGCATATACTCGGCAGAATTCAAGGGGAAACGATATTACTGCAACAGACACGACTAAGTATAACGCAGCACGTATAATTTGATTGCTAATACGCGGCAACATACGTCGCGAAAATATTTAAGAACCCAGCGGATAGATATCTGCATAGTGTTGGAGTACTTACTGTGAATGCAATTGTCGATTCTCACGAGTACCTTTAAACTATTTCGAAACATATCGCCAACGCGAGTTCGCATCAGACACGATCCTTTTCGCCACCGAACAACAAATAAGTGAAACGTAACGTAACGTGCGATAACGCAGAAAATATAGTAATAACAATCCCAACTTGTTGACCTCCCGCTTGTTTTCGTCGACTTTTATTGTACGGAGCGATTTAAATGTCCAAATAATTGATTCGTGGAGATATTTACTAAATATTGGGCTATGGGTATGGGGTATCGGCATATTTAATTATACTCAGTCATAAAGATGCCTCAGAATTTTATGGTCTGTTCATAGATGTAAGAAAGTGACCAATTGCTTTTGAATGGGATTATACAAGGGTGGTCAGAAACATACAATGCAACAAGGTTATTCCCTAAAGTTTCGGAATTTAAATTCAGGTAAAATTGTGGTCTGTGATAGACGACACCACCGCTGATTTATTTGAAAGTTGGTTTAAAAACAAACTAGTTCCAAACATTCCTCTTAATAGCGTCATTATAATGGACAATGCAAGTTATCACAGTAGACAGTTGACTAAAATCCCTTGCTCTTGTGACACAAAAGCAACAATCCAAAACTATATGTATAATAACGACATTTATTTTCACGAAGATTATACCAAAAAGCAATTAATTGAGGTTCTACAAAGCTTGAACCTACAAAAGGAATACGTCTGTGATGATTATATAAAAAATCTAGGGCATACAGTTTTAAGTTGGGCAAATTCTCTTAAACATATAGAAAAAGTAGAACAATCGTATACCCATAATACAAATAATATAGAACAAATAATAATTAGAACAGGCGATGATAGTGATAGTGATACTGATATATTATGTGAATAATTTTAAGTGATTCAAATATGTAAAAAAATAATTTGTAATTTTATTTTAGATTTAAACATAAATAAATACATATTGTTTAGTATCTTTCCTAACAAAACCCCAAATAATTAAATTCTAAGCAAAGTACGGACCTGTTCGGCCATATTTCATTCTTACAGCTTGTCCGGGTCTTTCCTTAATTCGTATCAGTTAGTCACTTTCCATATCTATGAACAGACTTTACTTATTTCCACTCGTGTACTAAGAATGGCGAAACCCACCCATTTATAGTCTGTGTTAGACTTGGTCGGACGCTCTCCACCTATTGTAATTGGATCAAGAAAGCCATTAACAAGAAATTTATTGTTATTTTAATATTATTGTAATTTACATTTCTTTCTTTCTAATATATTGACCATTTGTAGCATTGTTGAATAACCGTTTTTACTGTCCGGAAAAACTTATTTTATTTGGTTCCTGATGCAAATGTGTCAGACGAAAGCACCTCCAAATAAAGGAAAACGCATCACCATAATACAGGCTGGGTCACCCAGATACGTACCTGTACTCTATTTATCTCACAGGTAAGTTTGAAAATGATGATTTTTGTCTTGTGTGCCTGTCGATTAACAACATTCTTCTTCTTGTATTTTTGTATCTTCTACATAGTTCTTCGATTTGTAAACAAAAACAGTCTTTTTGAACACTATAGATTAAATTCACGGTAGATAAAGGTACGTCAAAAGAATACAGATAAATATTTATTCGAATCTTAGAATTAAACATTTTTTGAAGGTTTCTGTTTTTTAACACTTTAAAATGTGGAGACCGTGGAATGAAGCAGATGTTCCCCTATCAGAAGAAGACATGGAAAACAGCAATTAAAAAACGGATCTATTTGTCTGCGGATCTTGAACAAAGTGTTTTGAATGTTTACAATTTTATAAGGAATTTTATATATATACAGGGTTTTTCACTTAAAACTCCGCACGCCAATAAGTCCAAAACGAAAAGAAATATTTAATTTATGTAAAAAGTAGTCAAAGTGTGGGGTCAAGTAGATATTTCCTAAAGTTTAAAAAATTCGACGCCCGCAAAGAGCTGGGCGTCGCGACGCGTCGAAAAATTATTCGATTGCAGAGACTTTGGAAATACGCGCATACAAAAGTACATGTTATTTAAAAACTTTTTTGTTATTTACTCAAACTTATTTACTTTACCCGTTTCTAAGTTATACCGATTTAAAGTAAACATTTCTTGATTAATAAAAAATGCGATTAACGCTTATTTTTACAAGTATGCCATGCATGTTAGTTACTATGGCAACCATTGTTATCGCAGTTGTTTTAAGTGCAATTACAAACAATAGATTTCAACTATTTTAGTATGATTTTATTTATTATTTTTTATCGATTTAGTTCTGATAACATGATAAATAAATGAAAAAATAGTAAAATACCTACAAGTTAATAACCAAAATTATTATTGCAATTAGCTACATAATAAGACATTTCAAAAATTTTGTTCAAAATTATGTCCATCTGCTCGAACACAACTATCAAAAACTTTTAACAGATGAGCTTGGGTCACTTGTAGGAGAGTCCTTCTTGTGATAGCGGCACACGCTGCACTAATTTTGTTAATGAGATCAGCCATATTTTCGATAGGTTCTTCATAGATAACGTTTTTTAGGTAGCCCCTAAGAAAATAATCTGGTGGTGTAATGTCCGGGGACCTCGCCGGCCACCTTACCGGTCCATTAGTACCAAACCATCTATTGGGATATTCTCGGTTCAAATACCTCGTTACTATTTGGGCCTTATGTGCCGGCGCTCCATCCTGCTGTAGCCACATATTCATTCTAGTGTCAAGAGGCACTTCTTCTAATAGTTCCGGAAGTGTAGTTTGATAAAATCTTAAATAGCGATCTGCATTTAAAGTTCCTTCGTTAAAGTAAGGTCCAATAAGGAATCTATTTAATATGCCGCACCAAACATTGATACTAAAAATTCGTTGGTTACCTCTTTCTGTAATCCAACGAGGATGGTTTTCGAACCAAAAACGACAGTTGTGTCTATTAACGATTCCATTATTTTGAAATCGACTTTCGTCGCTCCATAAAATTTTCGAGAGAAAATTTGCATCTTGGCTATATAAATCGGACAATGTCGCTAAGAAATACATTCTTCTAGCACAATCGCCTGGTTCTAGTTTATGAACTAGTTTACTTTTGTACGGGTGAAAAGAGTTTCTATGTAGAATTCTCCACGAAGAAATTATGGTAACACCGGTATTTTCTTTTATCTCTGATTGGGATATCTTGGGGTTATTATCAACTTGCTGAATTACAGCAGCAGTATTTTCATCATTTGTAGCCGCCCTGTTCCTATCTCTTTTAGGTTTCATGAAGCTGCCATATTCTCTTAAGTTTTTACATAAACTTGAAAAGGTTTTTGCATCGGGGACTCTTCTATGCGGATAACGCCGTGCGTAAACTCTTTTTGCTTCTCTACAATTGCATCTGCATTCTCCAAACACCAGTAACATGTCTACTTTTTCCTCATTGCTAAATTGCACCATTTTCACATAATAATTCTTAGTTTTTTTTAACCGAACAAATTTGGATATTTCTTGTGACAAAATGTGACAATTTTTTGATACAGCAATAACAACTTACGTTTGTAATTGCACTTAAAACAACTGCGATAACAATGGTTGCCATAGTAACTAACGTTGATGGCATACTTGTAAAAATAAGCGTTAATCACATTTTTTTTAATCAAGAAATGTTTACTTTAAATCGGTATAACTTAGAAACGGGTAAAGTAAATAAGTTTGAGTAAATAACAAAAAAGTTTTTAAATAATATGTACTTTTGTATGCACGTATTTCCAAAGTCTCTGCAATCGAATAATTTTTCGATGCGTCGCGACGCCCAGCTCTTTGCAGGCGTCGAATATTTTGAACTTTGGGAAATATCTACTTGACCCCACACTTTGACTACTTTTTACATAAATTAAATATTTCTTTTCGTTTTGGACTTATTGGCGTGCGGAGTTTTAAGTGAAAAACCCTGTATATATATATATATATATATATATATATATATATATATATATATATATATATATATATATATATATATATATATATATATATATATATATATATATATATATATATAATCGTCGGTGAGTGGGGCAAGTTCGTAGCAAATAGCGAGAATCACCTTTTTATTTTAAAAAGAAGGCGCTTCGCGGATTCTTGTCCTAGAGGAAAGCATTGTTTTTCTGTCGTGCTCCTGCGGACCACTATGAAACTTTCGCAAAATCGATGTAATTTGATTGTGAATACACCCTGTATAAAGTGTCCTTCACGTCTCGCCGAACTTCAAAGTTACGGCACACTGCGGTAAATATTAAAATTTTTGCTGGTAATTGCAATTTAAAATTATATTTTTTCAATTACCTGGCGTCTCCTGTATTATAGACCAAACCTTAAACTCTCTCTCGACACAGTTTATATCAAATTATCACATCTTTAAAAGTTTTGCATATGTCGCCAATAATTCACCCACGAAAGCTGAAATTTCTAGGATCTACTAGAATTTTTTGCCCACAAACGACACACCCTGTATATAATTCCGGCAATGTTCGAAATAGAGGATATAGTCCTTAGTTTCCTGGTATCCGAATTTTTCCAATGGAGTAAATGGTTTTCAGAAAACTTCTTGTATTCTGTAACCATACAATACGTGGTAATATTAAATGACGTCATCGCATCTAGATTGAGGGCGAGTGATTTTCATTTGGATTATTTCAAATATCTCGAACAGCGTATGTGATAGACGAAAACCGTAAATACAAAAATTGTAGCCCTTGATACCGCCTGTTTGAACGGCTATAATATACAAAATTTTAAGCTATCTATATGGGCTATATCGTCATGTCAAGGAAATTGACATCTAAAAGACAGATTTGAAATTATTGCCAATTTTCAATACTAGAGGGACACATTTTTCAATTTTTTTGAATTTGCGGCGCACCCTGTATATTTTTGAAAAATTGTCAAGAATAAAAGTTTATGGTGTCGTTTCCTCTGCGTCTTCTGGTTCAAATTTTTTTCTGGTCTTACCGAGATACAAATTTTTTATACGAACGCAGATACAGTTTAAGAGTTATACAGCATTCCCACTTTCTTATGTCACGCGGTATATGATAGAAGCCCGACCAATTTTCGTGTAATCTACTTATATAAATTGAAGGATTCGAAACCAATTTTGGGTGAA